ACCACTGTGCTGTTATACAACCAGGCCGGAGACAGCCCCTGTGCACTGGCCCCGAGTTGTTTTAAAAACAGCTCAAATACGTAGATTTTAGCCAAGTAGAGCCTGCCTGTTTTTATATACTCCGAGAAACGACACCCAACACCTGTTATACCTACATAAGACAAAACCCTCTATTTAAAGGATCCCAAGGTCCTGCCAAGGAGGCTCAGTGGTGCAGTGGTTAAAGTGTTCAGCTGCCAGCCAAGAGGTCGGCAGTTCAAACCCACCAGCCACTCCACAGGTACAAGATGTGGCAGTCTGCTTCTGAAAAGATTTATAGTCTTGGAATCTGTGGGGCAGTTCCACTCTGTCCTCTAGGGGCGCTGTGGGTCAGAATTGACTTCATGGCAGTAGGTGTGGTTTGGGCTTTGCTTCTGTGAAGATTGACAGCCTTGGAGACCCTGTGAGGCAGCTCCATTCTGTCCTCTAGGGGCTCTGTGGGTCAGAATCGAGTAAATGGCAGTGCGTTTTAAGGTGCACCTGTTCTTCAGTGCCCTCTGACTCAAAGACTTCCTCTTTGCTGCAGGACCACATCACCTACAGACACGTAAAGTTTTCCCCTCCTTTATCCTCCCAGAATTTTCCCAGCCTCCTCTACTTCTGTTGGCCACTGGCACCCCTGCCTCTAGCGGACCTCCTGCTGTTGGGACTGCCCCCGTCACTGGCTGTCAACTGTCTGTCTGTATCACACCTCAATCAGCAGTTTGTTTAGCCATGCTGCTGCTGTCTCCCGGCCCTCTCCTTTTCCTTGAGCAGCCCCGCAGCCCCTTGAGCTCAATGCAGTTCCCTGGGGGAAACGGGTGACAGGTGATCATGGCTGAATGTTAAAATCCTCCTTAGGATGCTGTAGCGGTGGTCGAGGCCCCAGATAATTATTTTCACGGAAATAATGCTCCTAAGCAGCTGGCCACCATATGGGAAAGGTTCATGTCTTTTGTCAAAGGTTTTCCGAGAGACTTCCTATCTCTGTCCCGCCCCTACCACCTTCTCTGCCCACCACTTTATTTTTATATAGGGCAGAGACGTTCAGTATTATACAGGGTTTGTAAATAGATTTCACATAGTCTTTTGATCAGAGGTCTTAATGCTGACAGGAAAAGAAAGCCATTAAGTGGTTCTTGTTGGTTTGGAGCCTTGGTGGCACAGTGCGTAAGGCATTTGACTGCTAACCAGAAGGTTTATGGTTCAAACCCACCAGCCACTCCACAGAAGGAAGATGGGCAATCTACTTCCGTAAAGATTTACCACCTTGAAAATGCAATGGGGGTCACTATGAGTCAGAACTGACCTAATGGCAATGAATTCAGGTTTTTTGTCTTTCTTGGTTTAAAGTGTACTGCCTTGGTCCACGGACCCTCAGGGAAGGTTCTAGGGGGAATAAAAAAAAAACACTCACTGCCATTGAATTGATTCTGAGTCATAGTGACTCCCTTTGGGTTTCCGAGGTGGTAAATCTTGACAGAAGTAGATTGACTCTTCTTCCTTCCTTCCTTGGAGTGGCTGGTGGGTTTGAACCACCAACCTCCTGGTTAGCAGTCAAATGCCTTAGGCACTACGTCACCAGAGCTCCATTCTTATTAGAGAACTGCTTAAAATGATTGCAGGTACCTGTTCTCATCCTGCAGGAGCATTGGAGATACACTGGCTAAGCACTCGCCTGCTAACCAAAAGGTTGGCAGTTTAAACCTACCACCTGCTCCATGGGACAAAGATGTGGCAGTCTGCCCCCCTAAAAGATTTACAGCCTTGGAAACCCTGTGAGCAGTTCTACCCTGTCCTATAGGGTTGCTGTGAGTTGGAATCGGCGATGGCAGTGGGTTTTGCTAGGCATTCATCTTCCAGTTAATTCAGCAGTAAGGGGAACCCATTTTAACACTTGAAACAAAACCTTGTAACAGTGTGTCTAATAAATATAGCCAATCAGGTAAGTAGAAATGGATTTTGGAAATTCAGGCGGAAAACAAGAATCAACCATCTAGTAGCATTTAAGCAGAATGAAATACCCATACTGAATCCTGAAGACACGCCTTTTAAAAGGCAGCGTATCCTCACGTGCAATGCTGGAGGAGAACACGAGAACAAGGGGTCCGACACGCGGAAGTGAAGCAGCTTGACTCCAAGACGCTGTACAGCTCAGAGGTCAGCCTGGGAGGGCCAAAGTGAAGGCTAACGTGGATAGTGGTGTCCTTTACAGAGTCCTTTGCACACTTGGCCCCATTTGATTCTTCGACACGGTTATCCTCATCATTTTCATTTCACAAATGAGGAAAGTGAGGCACAGAGAGGCAAATCAACTCTCCCTTCAGCCTCATAACCCTACAAGATGCAGAGCTGGGATCAGAACCCAGGAGGTGAGACGTCAGAGCAGAGTGCTGGGATATTGCCCCACACATCTCCCCTCCTCCTCCCTGCACCCCCCAACACACACTGCTGACTGGGGACCCTGTTAATATCCATGTTACTCTCAGGGTGTGGTGTTTCATCCCTTTGCTCATTGCCCTGGTTGTCTTAAGTGCAAGAGAGCAAAATAGCTCCTCTTTGGAACAGCTGTAAATACACATTTGACAACTCAATTTGGATCCTCACAGCCAGGGAGCCCACATCATTCATTCTTTATAGCAAAACTGTCATGAAAACTAATCAATGTCAGCCTTTGCCTGGGCCAGTAACAGAGAATGTCAGCAAAAAAAAAAAAAAAAGCAATGAGAAGGGGTCCAGGCAGTCTGTCCAAGGCTGTGATGTTCACCCTCCATATAATGACATAAAGAGCTGACACATAATTAGGAGACAGTGGCAGCATCCTTAGGAACTTAACACGCAATTCTATACTGCACTAGAGGGCAGGGGTGAGAGGCAGCAAAGGGACGCCAGCAGGAGGGCTCTAAGCTGGGGTGGGGTTGGGGCTGGGCAGGCTAAGCAGGACAGCCCAAAGGCCCATCAGGAGCAGCTGTGTTAGAGGGGTTAGGTGCGTGAATCACAAAGCCAGGTGGCCTGGGTTCAAACCTCACCTCAGCTGCTTTATCTCTAAAATGAGGATGATGAGAGCAGGAAACTAATGAGGCGATGAGGAAGATTAAAGATGTTCAAGAAAAAAGCTAGTTGCCATTGGTTTCACTTTGACTCATGACAACCCCAACTGCACTCCATAGGATTTTCCACAGCTGATATCTAGCAAGTAGATCTCTAGGTCTTGCTTCCCAGGAACCTCTGGGTGAACTTGAACCACCAACCTTTTAACAGTGAGCACAGCAATCATCTGCACCACCATGTACTACATGCCCAGTACATGTCAGTGGTCATTTCCCTGTAAGAACTGACAATATGAGGCCACAGTGAGATGGTCTCAGATCTAAATTCCAACTCAACACTGCTCATACCACTGGCCTTTACTCTATTTTCTTCCAGAAACATCTCTTGACTTCCTTCTGGAGATCCCTACTCCTCAATGAACCCAAACGATGGGTTTACTTATCTATCCTTCTTGGTCGAGGCTGGAAAACAAGGGCTGTTTCTTTCTTCATCACTTCTCCCAAGTCTAACACAGTATCAGACACATTGGAGGCACCAGGCAAATGTTTCCTGAGCTGGACTTTTGTGGAAGGAGGGAGAAAGGGCATTTTTAGGGCAATGAAACAATGTTGTATGATGTTGTCTTGGTGGACACATGACATTATGCATTTGTGAAAACAATAGGCGTGCAGAACACAGAGGGAACTCTAATGTAAACCAGGGACTTGAGTTAATAATGATGTATCAATACTGATTCATCAACTGTAACAAGCACACCACGGGAAGCCAAGCCATTAGCAAGAGGAGAGACAATGCGACACGGAGAAGAGGCAAACAGGAAGTTTCCACTTTCTGCACAACATTTCTGTAAACAAAAAACCAAAACCGCCCTATGACAGAAAGTCTCCTTAGAAGCAAGGATGATGAAGACTTCATGTTGCTTACACAGGACATGTTATTAGGAGGGACCCTGGAGAGGGGCATCATGCTTGGTGACATAGAAAGTCAGTAAAAAAGGGAAGATCCTCAATGAGACAGACCGACACAGTGGCTGAAATGATGAGCTCAAACAACAATCATGAGGATGGGGCAGTACTGGGTGGCATTTCATTCTGTTGTACGTAGGGTCGCTATGAGTCAGAGCCAACTCGATGGCACCTAACAACAAGAACAGCATTTTAAAAAAGTAATCTTTGGAACATCTGATATCACTGCCATTGAGTTGATTCCAGTGCATAGCAACCCAATCAGACAGAGCAGAACTACCCCCAGAGGGTTTCTAAGGCTGTAAATCTTTACGGAAGCAGACTGACTCATCTCTCTCCCATAGAGCAGGTGGGGGGTTCAAACCACCAACCTTTTGGTTAGCAGCCAAAAACTTTAACCACTACACCACCAGAGATCCAAGTGCGGGATAAACATGAGAGAAAGGTTACCTGCACAAGACTTGAGCTTCTTGAGGGGCAAGACTGATGTGTGTGAATTTCCTGGTATGGCCACCTGGCCTAGCACCACTAGTAGGCTCAATGTGCATGTGTTTGAATGAATGAATGAATGAACGAATGAACTGAGAGTAACCATTCAGAGAGTTCAACTAAAAGGCAATAAAGCATGTGCTTTAAAGAGTCCATCAGACACTGTACTCCACAAAATATTTAAGAGTATTTGAGTTCAGCATATGCCATTCCTTCCTCTGTGAGGAGATGGATTGACATAGTGGCTGCAATGATGGGCTCAGGTGTAGCAAGGATTGTGAGGCTGGTGCAGGACCGGGCAGTGTTTTGTTCTGTTGGACATGGCGTCGCTTTGAGTCGGAGCTGACTCAATGGCACCTAACAACAACAACAGCTACTCTTCGGGACTGGGAGGGTCCTTCGGGGGAGCCCAGTGTGCATTTTGCTCCGACATGCAGAATTCGCAGGTGCACCCCCCACCCCAGCAGAATCGCTCACCACAGGTTGACTAAGAAAGGATGGTCCAGGCCCTGCATGATCTGGAGCTCGCGGAAGACATTGCGGACCTCGTCCCGCTCGATGCACTTCTGCTTGTTCATGTACTTCATCGCGTACATTTTCTTCGTGTCTCGCTTCTGCACAATGCAGACCTGAGCGACAGCCAGAGGGGAGAACATTCAGGCCAAGGTCACACAAAAAGGTCAGTGCGTCTGGGCTCAGATCAAGGCCCTGTCCTGGAAACTCGCTAGAAGCACAGATATGGCCAGCTGCCACCTCTCCACATCTGGGAAAAGAAGGACCAGATTCCTTTGTTCCCCAGATATTTACACTAGGTATCAACCATGTGGAGTCCCTGGGTGACACAGACAGTTAAGTGCTCGACTACTAGCCAAAGGGTTGGTGCTTCAAACCCAGCCGGAGGCATCTCGGAGGGAGGGCCTGGTGACCGGCTTCCCAAAGGTCACAGCCCTGAAAATGGAGGAGTTCTGCTCTGCACATGTGGAGTCATATGAGTTGGAATGAACTACATGGTAACTACATGCAACAGCAACCACACTGATCATGCACTCGGTGATGGAGAAGAGCTACATGGAAGAAGTAGGTCCATCATCCCCAGCAGGTCATGACCCAGGAAGGAAACAAACAAAGGCACCCATGAGTGTGTACAAGAGTGTTGCAGACCCTGTCTGTGCTGCTCAATCCCTTCGTTACCCCCCACTTGAACACACACACGCGCCACTTCCATTCTCCATTTGACAGCTCTGTGTTTCTCTGCCTGAGGACTCTTGAGTACAGCCCATTTTGCTGCCCACAAAGCAGGGCCAGCAATGCCAGGGAACTAATGTCCCAAGAGCAACCCTTAGCCAGTGACTGGTGGAGTGGGGCTCTAAGTACCCCGGGTCCATCAATGTGAGATGGATGTTTTACAGTGGGTCCCAGTGTTTGCTCAGTCATCCGTGGGGGTAACTAACTTGATCAAACACTTTGAATAGCTGCCTTTTTTACTTGCCCTGACTCTCCTACCCACTCACCTCCCCAGTTCCCTGTGCTCAAATCCTTGTCTTAGAGCCTGCTTCTGGAGAAACCCAAACAAGACACAGGGCACAAGGGAACAAAGGGGAAGTTATACAGCAGGAATGGAAGCTAAGGGGTATTGAGCACTTTTATTGCAAGCCAGGCACTGAGAAGATCAGTCACTACCTTAAGTATCTCACCTAGTCCCCAAACCAAACCCACTTCCATTGAGTCAATTCCAACTCATAGAGACCTCCACTGGGTTTCCAAGGCTATAAATCTTTATGGAAGTAAATTGCCTCATCTTCCTACTGCAGAGCAGCTGGTGGGTTTGAACCACTGACCTTCTGGTTAACTGCCCTACCCACTATGGCACCACACCTCCTTCATCTAGTCCCCAGGCACTTCAAAAGAAGATGGGAGGAAGAGAGAGTCATGGTACAGAAAGGAGTTGTAGGACACAGTATATGATCAAGAACCAATGGCAATGAAGGAAGACACCAAGCTGCACTGCAGGCAGTGGTGGAAAACATGGCTCCAGGAATTGATGGCATACCCACTGAGATGTTTCAACAAGTGGATGCAGCGCTGGAGACACTTACTCATCTATGCCCAGAAATCTGGAAGACAGCTACCTGGCCAAGTGGTGGGAAGAGGTCCATATTTGTGCCCCTTCCGAAGAAAGGTGATCCAATAGAATGCAGAAATTATCGGAAAATATCATTAATATCATATGCAAACAAAATTTTGCTGAAGATAATTTAAAAATTGCAGCATTATATCAACAGGGAACTGCTAGAAACTCAAGTTGGAGTCAGGAGAGGATGTGGAACAAGGGATATCACTCCTGCTATCACATGGATTTTGGCTGAAGGTAGAGAATACCAGAAAGATATTACCTGTGTTTTATTGACGATGCAAAGGCATTGGATTGTGTGGATCATAACAAATTATTGCTGACATTGCAAAGAAGTGGAATTCCAGAACAGTTAATTTGCTCACAAGGAACACATACGTAGACCAGGAGACAGTTCAAATAGAACAAGGGGACACTGAATGGTTTGAAATCAGGAAAGGTCTATGTCAGGGTTGTATCTTTTCATTATACTTATTTGATGAGCAAAAATCTGAGAAACTGGACTAGATGAAGAAAAACATAGCATCAGATTGAAGGAAGATTCATTAATGACCCACGCTATGCAGATGACACAACCTTGCTTGCTGAAAGCGGAGAAATGGAACCACTTACTGATGAAGATCAAAGACTACAGTCTTCAGTATGGACTACACCTCAACATAAAGAAAAAAAAAATCCTCACAGCATGAAAAACGGAGAAAAGACTGAAATTGTGCAGGAGTTCATTCTACCACAATCAACACCCATGGAAGCACAGTCAAGAAATCAAACGATGCATTGCCTTAGGCAACTCTGCTACAAAGACCTCCTTAAAGTGTTGAAGAGTAAAGATGTCACTTTGAGGACTAGGGTGTGTCTGACCAAGTAATGGTATTATTAATCACCTCATATGTGTGTGAAAACTAGACAGTGAATAAGGGAGACAGAAGAATTAATGTCTTTGAATTATGGCACTGGCAAAGAATATTGAATATACAGTAGTGACGTATAGGAGCTCTGGTAGCATAGTGCCTAAGGCATTTGACTGCTAAGCAGAAGGCTGTCAGTTAAAACCCACTGGCCACTCCTCAGAAGGAAGGTTGGACAACCTACTTCCATAGTGATATCACCTCGGAAACCCAAGGAGAGGTCACTCTGAGTTGGATCTGACTCAATGGCAGTGAGTTTTTCGATTTTTTTTTTTTAAGGCATTTGATCACTAACCAGAAGGTTGGTGGTTCAAACCCTCAGTGGTTCCATGGAAGGAAGATGGAACAATCTATTTCTGTAAAGATTTACAGTCTTGGAAACCCAGTGGGGGTCACTAGGAGTTGGAATCAACTCGATGGTAGTGAATTTGGTTTTTGGTTTTGAGCCAGAAGAATGAACAAATCTGTCCTGGAAGAAATACAGCCTGAATGCTCCTTAGCAGTGAGGATGGAGAGACTTCATCTCACGTACGTAAGACATGTTATCAGGAGGGTCCAGTCCCTGGAGAAGGCCATTGTGCTTGGTAAAGTAGAAGGTCTGAGAAAAAGTGTTCATCTCAAGGTGGCCTGACACAGTGGCTGCAACAATGGGTTCAAACACAGCAGTGATTATTTGGAAGATGGCCTAGGCCCAGGCAGTGGTTCCTTCTGTTGCATATAGTGTCCCTGTGAGTCAGAAATGACTTGATGGCACCTAACAAACAACAATAGTAATCCCAGTTCATGGAGGTCCAAGCCCCCCAGGGACACGTCGGAAGAAAGGCCCTGGTGGTCTGCTTCTGAGAAATCAGCCACCGAGGACTCCATGGAGCTCAGCTCTGCCCTGACACACGGGGTGCCATGAGCAGGAAGTAACTACTGGCAAGTGGTTCAAGCATGCATCATCCCCTTAGCATGGGAAACTGTGGCCCTGAGTGCTTTCACTAACTTGCCCAGCATCCCACAAGCTAATAAAGAGCAAGGCTGGCATTCAAACCCAGGCTGTCTGACTTCTGAAGGAAGGCCTTACCTGGGGGCAGTAGAGGGTTGGATGGGGAGGGCAGCCTCCCAGGGCCGGCGCTCTGGAGGAGTTAAGCCAATGCCACAGGGTGCAGCCTAAAGGATGGAAAGGTGGGAAGGGCAAGGGAAGGTGCTCGCAGGAGACAGAACATTACAGCTGGAGCCCGATGAGACTTGGCAAGACGCAAGGGATGGCTGGACAGAAAGCATGTCTGGCCAACACGGATTGAGCAGGAGTTACGTTGTTTTAGGTTATGTTTCCAACAACCTTATGAAGCAGCTGAATAGGGAAGACAGAAGAAGAGTTGATGCCTTTGAATTGTGGTGTTGGCAAAGAATACCAAAAGTACCATGGGCTGCCACAAAAACAAACAAATCTGTCCTGGATGAAGTGCAGCTGGGACGCTCCTTGGAAGCGAGGATGGCCAGACTTCGTCTCACCTACTTTGGTCATGTTATCAGAAGGGACCATTCCCTGGAGAAAGATGTCATGCTTGGTTAAGTGGAGGGTCAATGAAAGAAGGGAAGACCCTCCACAAGATGGATTGACATAGTGGCTGCAATGATGGGCTCAGGTGTAGCAAGGATTGTGAGGCTGGCATGGGACCGGGCAGTGTTCTGTTCTGTTGTACATGGGGTCGCTATGACTCAGAGCTGACTGGATAGCACCCAACAACTACAGTACTACAATGTCACAGATAATACTGATGAAGCAAAATGAAGTACAATGGTTTTAGTTCTTTGACTCAGCTCAGAGGCAGGGAATTGGAAGAGACTCTTCAAAATTCAATTAGAATTCAGCCTTCCAAGTAGAGCTACTGATTTGAATAAAGCTTAGAAGTTTGACTTTTTGCTTTCTTATTGTGGTAAAAATATACACAACAAAGCGTGCACCATGTCAGGAATGTCTACATGTCCAATTCAGTGGCATTTCTTACAGTCTTCAAGTCGTGCGAGCATCCTTGCCATCCTTTGCCAAATCATTCCCCTACCATTATCCTCAACTCACTGGCCCCGAAGCAAAAGCTCTCTTTCCCCATCACTCCCACCTCTAGTAACCACTAATCATCTTTGGTTTCCACGTATTTCCTCATTTCATCTAAGTGAGATCATCCTGTCTTTGTCCTTTTGAGACTGAATCCTTTCACCTGGCGTGGTGTTTTCACAATTCACCTCTGTTGTAGCACGCATCAGGGCTTCATTCTTCTTTATGGCCAAGTAACAGTCCATGGTAGGTACATACCACCTTTTGTTTACCTGTTCATCTGCTGAAGGATGGTGTGACTTTTTGATACAAGAAAAAGAGAGAAGTTTGGTACAGGATATGGGGTGCAGCTTGGGAGTTTGGGTTTATAAGTAAAAGAAGCAAGATCAGGAGGTGTGGGTCTTGGCCAGCTCTCCATGGACATGATGGCTATGAGCTGGGATCAGATAAATGTCTGGGCTTCCACTCCCTCCACTGTGATCGACAGTTGGATCAACTGCTCTCTAAGGCATCTTTGTTGTTGTTAAGTGCCGTCGAGTC